GCCTGCGTCTCGAGACTGTAATTCCCATACAACACGGCCACTCATGTTGGAAACTATACTCACTTAGGAAATATAGAACGTCGCGCGCGTGTCTCTGTCCTCTGATAAACACGATGCGAGTTGAAAAACACGAGAGAAGCAAGCTTAGAAACACGAGCGAAAAACACATTAGCCAATCAGGGCGCGCGTTATATGTCAAACATTTTATAATTAGGTCTTATTRACCMAGCGCGCGGTCTAAATAGAAAAATCCAGACCGCGGTTGGGAAGTACGCAACAAGTGCAGCGATTTTCAGCAATTGTTTTTTTTTTACCTGATCGATGATAAGATGGAAAGTTGTCCCGAAAGCCAATGCAAACAAACAAAACAGCAACATGACCTAAAATAGTAGGACAAGGTAAGTCGATATTCGCTCGACGTCAATGATAGATCTACAGTCAACTCTCGCTATTACGGACACCCTCGGGACACCCCGTATTTAAGAGTCCGAAGTAGCGATTGTCCGTAATAACGGGAGTTACTTTCAGTCAYTTCTTTGTATTTTTCGCCGGGGATTCAGTATTTCGTGCCCGTATATTCGAGGTGTCCGTTATAGCGGGGTGTCCGTAAGGCGAGAGTTGACTGTATATACTATGGCTTATGGTTAATATCACAAAATCATAGGTACATAACAGACTTTCGAAAATCCTCCTTAAATTTCTTTAGCATACCTTGATTAGTGTAATGAACATAGTGTACAACATAATGACATATTTCCCGTAGAATGGAAGTCTGGTGATTTATAAAAAATACATAAAAACAGCTTTGAATGAACGTAGAAAACATACATAAGATACATATCAATGAATTGTCATTAATCGTGAGTATGTTGAAATGCTTTCTTTTCGAAAAATAGGAAAATTCGCTGAGACAAACGAAAGGTAACAACATGGCCCAGTTTATTCGATGATGCATAAATAAATAAAAAAATCAACTTTGTTTTAAGAGGGCAAACTCGTGTCTGCAAAGAACTGATTAACTTGTGGCTCTCTATACTGTCACAC